CCCTTCTTATTTTTTTTCATTATTCATTAATAAATAAAAATAAATTAAAAAAATAATTCATCACCTGTAACGATAATTTTAAAAAAAGTAGGAGATCCAAACGCTTAGGACACACCATACTAAATAAGTATATTACATTAATATTTTAAATAAATAAACAGTCATTTATAGTAAATCATAAACATAAAATAAAAAAAAAGTACTTAATTTCTTATTTCAATATAATTAGTTAAATTCTCAAAATTATTATCACTATTGAAAACTACATTAATAATGTGTGTGCATGTTTTGACCCAGGTCATACTAGGGGTGTCAAAATGGGTCACGACACGCGAACACGATTCCCCTAACACTCGAAATAAATAGGTTAGGATTGAGGTTGAACGAGTTCGTATCATAAATGAGTCACATATTTATGACATGAATATAAACGTGTTGTGTCATGGGTTGACACATGGGTTAGGCGAGTAACCCATTTATTTAAGAGTAAAAAGGTAATTTTATTATTAAATATAAATACTCCAACTAAAAACTTATTTAAATTTTATTGTTGTATTACTTTTTTATTTTAATTATAAATCTTGAAAAATTTATGCATTTTACATGTGAAAATTTATTTTTAAAATTGTTGTAACCTTACTCTTTTTTAGTTTTAAATTATAAATCTTGAAAATTTTATGCATTTTACGAGTGGTAAATTTATGTTTTAAAATCTATAATTACCTGGACGTTTTTTTATTTTAATTATAAATCTTGAAAAATTTATGCATTTTACATGTGAAAATTTATTTTTAAATATAATTAGAGTTAAATAGGTTAAAAGTTAAAAATACTATAAGTAGGTTAAGTGTGTTGTATATAGGTTAACAAGACCCACTTAACCTGTTTATGATATTAAGCAGGTTAAACATGTTATGTTCGTGTCAACATCTAATTTCGTGTTGTATTTGTTTCGAAGTTATAAAAAATTATTTTATTCTTAAATATTGTTTCGCGCATCGTGCGGGTTCTATCACTAGTGTGTATATATATATCACTGAGTTGGTTTTATATCTCATGTGTGATGATGCACTATTGCAATTTAATGTAGCACGTCTATCTTCCTGAACAGATTCCTTTAAACTATAAAAGTCAGATAGACAGGAATACCCTCAAAGCTTTTTGGTCCAAAAAAATTGGAAAGAATGTATCAATATTATATGCCAAACTTTCTTTTGAAATTACCAGAGGGCAGAGGCCAATAAGCAAATTATTTAACAAAACCCATATATACCAAAATTGTTTTTCTCTAAATTCTTCTTCTTCTTCCTCTTCTCTGTCTTTTCTTTCTTGTTGTGTCTACTGCAACTTGTTCAATAGCTTTCCCCCTTCGAGCTATCTTGTTGTTGATTCGTTTGGCAATTTTTCAGTTTTTGCTTATATAATGATCAGAAACTCTGATAATATGACCAGAGGTGGCTCAGACAAGGCGCTAGCAAAGGCGCCGCTCATAAAATTTTCAAAATTTTATTAATTAATTTATTTTTATTTCACTGTACGACTTACTAGGCCAAAAGTGTGTTGTGGGCTATGTACAAGTGTAACTCTCTGTTTTACTTATCAAGTCGGTGAAAACACTCTTATGAGAATAAAAAATCTTAAGTTTTGGTCTTTTGATTACATTGCATATTTCAATTTCCTAAATTTAAAATTTTGGATTGTCTTGCAACTTCATTAGTTAACGTTTTATATTAAGAATTTAAAAATAAGAAGAAAAAAACAAATAAAATGCTTTTGGTTAGTTTTCTTCGTTAAGGTTTAGATTCATAATCATGTCTTTTAAGAAATATATATTAGGGATGTTTAAGGTTCGGTTTGAAAATATATTCAAAATAAATATATAACATGATAATTTATAAAAATATTCAAGCCGAATCAAACTATAAAACAAACTCAAATTGAACCAAACCAATGAATGTGGTTTAGTTCAATTTGGATGGGTTGGGTGGTTTTTAATGGTTTATTTGTATTCTATAGCTTTAATGGTTTTTAATGGTTTTTTTATTTTTTATTTATGAAAAAAGAATTTTCATATCCAACTTACCCAATAGAGCTTTCCCCCTTCCAGCTATCTGATGATTTTTGGCTCCCCCTTCCAGCTATCTGATGATTTTTGGTTGTAATTGTTTATATAACTGCCAGAAACTATTGGATTTTTTTTTTTTTGTCAATATTTCCATGAGTTCCTTTTGACTATATACTAATCTCGTTTTCGAATTAGCGACCCTCTTCTTTATAAACGTTTTTCCATAAATATAACTTTTGACTTTATGAAAAAAAAACATACATTAAACCTTTTAATTTATAAAATTGTACTTATTAAATACTTCAACTTGCAAAATTTTTTATATTAAATATTTTAATTTTTAAAAATTTAATTTAGATCAATTAAATATTTATTAAATAGTAAAAAATGTGAAAATATTATTCTAAAAATTGTGATAAATACAAATCAAATTAATATTTACATGTAAATATCAAAAATACTAAAAAACTATTGTTGTTAGTATGAATAGGTGTGTAATATTACCATAATTCGTAATTTTAATAACATAATAGATCTCTCGTAAAGTTAATGAAGATACTGTGAAATAAACGAGTGAATTTATATATTAGACCATTTTAAAATTTTTATTTTTAGTATGTATATAATTAATGAGCATTTGAATCAACAATTTTGAAATTATGTTTAGTTAAAATTATTAATCGAAATTAAATTATTATGTATAAAATTAAATTTAAATTTTTAAAAAGGTTATGAAAATTGGTTATGAAAATTATAATATTATTAATATTAATATTTTTAAAATTTTAAAATTGATTATTTTCTTTTCCAGTATCCAGTAAATAGGACTTTATTAAAAGACAAAGGTTAGTGGGTAGGGTACATGCAAAACAGAACAAACAAAACAATTGTATAGAAACTAGAAAAGGAACAAGAAAGAAGGCTGCGCCTAAACGCTAGGCCAAGCAATAAGACCATTATCCACTCAAACGTAACACGCCAAAAATGCACGGTTTAGGTAATACTGTTAGAATTTATGATAATTAATTAATTAAATAAATACTATTATGATAATATTTATTCTTTCTAGATATAAATAATTTATTCATATCTTATCTGTATTATTTTACGTAATCCATCATTATTCATAGCAGAAAATAGGTTTTCTTAATCTCTCTCGTCTTTCCATCTCTCAGTCACTCATAAAGCCCTGATTGCTAAGGCAAGGTGCTCTTAGATGTGGTTCAAAGGATATTTTCTATACGTTATGGTTGCTCCTATGGTTGACAATACGAGGCTTATTTCTTCGCTACAAAAAGTATATCCATCTTTGTTTTCATATATATGTATATATCTTCTAATAGATACCGATTAGATTCAAGTAGTAAGGTACATTGATGGATGATTTCCGTAAATTCAAGAAATTCGATCTAAAAAAGCATTCATAAAGAGAGACAATCAAGAACCAGATATTCGATTTCAATCCCAAATTGAAAAAAAAAATAAAGAAAAAAAAAACAGAGGCGAACAATAATTGCATGCCTTTCTGAACTTAGAATCAAGTTTTAATCTCAGTTTAGAACGCTAGAAAGCCTTAAGTGCTGGCTACATTACCTAAAACCTTTCGTTCAATGTCAGGAGCAGGCAAATTGGATAGCAACGTTTTGCATTTTGTAGTAAGTAATCCCGTAAGTCAAAGAAAACTGCAATGATTGGGACATCCTTGTTGTGGACATAAGTATATATTTTTAGGTTGGTTTCTAAAACAAGAACGAAAAAAACCCATTCTGTTTAAAATAACGTTTTCTTATATTATTTCTCCGTCTATGACTAGTTCCGTAATAGGCTTTTGGATATAAACTTTTTGATTTGATTAACTTATTATTTATAGGATTTAGTAGCATGATTTTTGATTTTTTATATTAATATTTAGAGTTAAAACATCTAATAATTACTAAACAGTTAATTTTATTGAACTATGCTCGAAGCCCCGGCAAGAATCTCATTTATATAATTTTTTTTGTTTTGGATATCATAATATAAGACCAATCTTTCATATTTGATGGTCCAATAAATTCAGCTAATTTGAATGTCCAATTGATAAATAAGAGAAAAATGTTGAATTGGATAGCAAAATCAAATAGAAAATCTCAATATGTTATCCAGATAATATTTCCAATGTGGACAGGCGACTTAAAGGAAATTTAATTCAAATTACACTTGAATGCATATCAAATTTTCAACTAAAGAGGATAACCAACGTGGGTTCATTTTTGGATAGATTATTAGTTGCAGCAGCAAATAATTAAAATTATACCAATTTTGAAGAAATCTTTGATAATTTATTAGTTGAGATACATATAGGACTTAATGAGATAATATTTTTTATCAATTTAGTTCGAACAAGCTATGATATCGTTTAGACAGTAGATAATTATTATTAATTAATATATTATTATATATAAAATTAGTAGTTAATTAGAAATATCTCAATATTATTAAAATCTCATTGTCTGCTACAATTTAGATAATATATCTATCAAAAAAATACCACACTCATTTTGGGAATTGAAAACATTACTAGATAAATCGAATTATTTTTTATTCAAAATGGGAAATTTACTAAAATACAATTATTATATTGTAGCAATTTTGAAGAAGAACATTTAGTTTGAATAAAAAAAAAATTAAGGAACTAAAGTGACTGGACAAAGTAATTTGATAATCACGTGTCAAAAAAATGTATCTATATTAAACAGAAAGAAAATACAAAATTTGCTATTTTCTATGCAAAATCAAAATTCTATGGTCTTTATTGAAATTGGAAAACAAAACAATAACCATTCTACTTGTGAAGTGGTTACGCAACTTTGATTAATAATAACTCTTGTCTCTTGCTAATAAGAGTAATAAATTATAATTAAAACCCTCATCTATAAATAGCCATGCATTCCATGCAATATTTCTCATCATCTCTTACCAAAATCAAGTTCATAACACATAAAGAACAACTTTAAGCGCAATAATGAAAATGGCTAATTTACTTATAGCTCTTGGTGTTTTGGCTATGGCTTCCTCATTTGCCATTGCCTATGATCCTAGTCCTCTTCAAGACTTGTGTGTGGCGACGGAAGACTACAGCTCTGGCGGTATGTATATTTAACTTCTTTCTAGAGTTTCAGATTTATTTATGCAGGTCTTATTAGCTCATTATTCATGCTATGGATTGTAATGCATAATTGCTAAACATGGCTTTTGATCTTATTTTGTGCATGCAGTACTCGTAAATGGAAAATTTTGCAAGGATCCAGAACACGTAACAGCCGACGACTTTTCCTTTTCTGGACTTAACAACGCTAGAGAAACCTCAAAACAACTTGGAATCCGCACAAATCTCTTAACAGTAGAAGAGATTCCTGGCCTTAACACCAATGGTCTCTCCATTGTTCGTATTGATTATTCACCTGGTGGTGTAAACCCACCTCACAACCATCCTCGAGCAGCAGAGATTATCACTGTCTTAGAAGGAACCATATATGCTGGTTTTATCACTTCAAATCCCGATCACCGGCTTTTCGCCAAGATTTTAAAGCCAGGAGATGTTTTTGTATTCCGGGCTCATTCACCTTCCAAATGAACATTGGCCAAAACTCTGCAGTTGCTTAGCTGCATTGAACAGTCAAAACCAGGTGTGGTAACATCAGCAATACAATATTTGGAGCTGTGGCCACGCATTAATCCTGATCTTTTGGCAAGAGCATTCCCAATATTGATAAAGCGAATTAGTGACTAAACTGCAAAAAGATGAATGGTTAATCCATCAGACCTTAAATAGCTTTGACTCTACTTTCATCCCTATTAAGTATGAAAATGAATTAATTGTTAAAATTTTTTTTGGAAGGGGGAATGGTTTTTTAAAATTTTAATTTCAGGGTTTTTTAATTTACTAATGCAATAAATAATTAAAAGGTTGTTTATATGACCATTAAAAAGGTTGTTTATATGACAATCTTTATGATATTGTATTTGTTGAGCTTATAATAATAATAATAAGGGTGAAGAGTATATATGGTATATGCCTCTCTCACTAGTTCATTTTACAAGTGTTTGCAGTTTGTTTACCATCTCTATGATAATGTTGTATTTGCATATAAGGCAAACGATAAAAAAAAATAATTTAAATGATTACTTATTTTTATAATAATATCACTTATTGGATCTATATACTTATTTTGAGAGGAAATGAAACACTTAAATGATTTTTCATCAAACAACTGTTTATCTAACATTTTGATGTAAGAAGCAATAAAAATTATCTCTATCAAGATGATAGACTCACTCTCTGTACTGTCAATAGGATCAATTATAACAAGTCACACGCTCATATTTCAGAAATGCATCAACCTTGATTAATAGAAAGTTGGATCAACTTAAGTGGACTGTATTAAGTTTAAGAGATTTAAAATCTGAAATTACTTTTGTTGAAAAGAGTTTAATTAATCAATACCATCCTCAAATCTCAACCCAAACGTGAAATTGCTACTGTTGAAAAATCCAAATAGCATTAATATTCCAATTTTATCAATTTTAATGAAAATAACCATAAAAATATCTAGAAAATGTGTTTTTTGCTTTGTTTGGGAAAAAAATATTGAAAGAAGAAATATTTCACGTATTTTCCACTAGACTCCACATGTTTTGAAGCTCCCGAATTTAAAGAGAAAAAATAAAGGAAAGTGAGAATTTCACTTATTTTTATTGAATTATCTAAAAACCTCAAAATAACTAGAATTACATTTTATTATAAAATAAATGAAAGTATAATTGTAAATTTTCAACAATAATATTTTATTTCTTTCCAAACAAAGGAAAATAAATTTATTTTTTTCCTTTATTATATCGAAATATAACGATGAAAATTAATAATTAGAGATATATAATTTAGGGAAAAATATCCTAATTTGTGGTCGGACACCAAGAATCAAATTTCAGTCAATAAGTGTTGTGTGGTGCCCACTCAATGGGACCCACACATGTTGAATATTAAAAAAAAAAAAAAGAATGGCAAGATGAGCTGTGTACAGCTCATGCGCAGTTGCATGAACTATGCATAGCTCATGCCCATGCTTTCTTCTTCTATAAATATAGGAGAAGAATGCTTCTTAAATCACACCAACGAAGAAGAAAAAAAAAATATATAAGAAGAAAAAAAAAAAATATATATATATATATATATATATAGAGAGAGGAGAGAGAGAGAGAGAGAGAGAGAGGAGAGAGAGAGAGAGAGAGAGAGAGAGAGAGAGAGAGAGGAGAGAGAGAAGAGAGAGAGAGAGAGAGAGAGAGAGAGAGAGAGAGAGGAGAGAGTTTTAGAAAGGAGAGAGAGAGAGAGAGAGAGAGTTTTAGAAAGGGTTCTAAAACTAGGGTAGAGAAAAAGATAGTGAAGAAAATTTGGGGTGTTTTTGGGGAACACTTGTAAGTGCCACTATTTTTATATTACTCTCTTTGTAAGCCTACTATTTTTAATAGTGGAAAAATAATTTAGAGTTTGTCTCGTGCACGTAGCCCTAAACAGTTAATGGTGAACCACGTAAATATCTGTGTGTCACAGTTTTATTTTTTCGCTGCCGTAATTATTCTTGTAATTTTTTTTTATCACCGGTCCTAACAAGTGGTATCAAAGCTTGGTTTCGGTAGGTCCAACCGATTAGATAGTGGTACCGGATCCGTGGATATATTTTGAAAATAAATATACCACGACGAAAAGAAAATTACGACAAGTCCATTGATGCAGTCCGTTCGAAAAGACATTGCAGAATCAACCTAGAGATGAATAGTCAAATAATAACTCAAATTTGGTAGTGAACAGTACTATTGGAGTTAAGTAAGCCCAGCAATATTCACACATAGTACTATTCACATGTACAGTTACTATTCATGTATATTATTACTATTCACGTATATTGTTACTATTCACACATACGGTTTCTATTGGTGATAATATTCTGCACAAGTCAAAAATGGACGATAGAACAAGAGGCACAATGGTTAGACTCAACTTATCAAACTATTCAGTATGAAAGATATTAATGGAAGATCTTCTATGCTGCAAAGATCTCTTTGAAATGATTGAGTTGAAAGGAGTCAGACCAACTTCAATAAATGAGACTGATTAGAAGTCGACTAACAGAAACGCAGTCACAACTATCAGGCAGTCTGTTGAAATGAGCGTCATAAATCATATCGCTCATGAGAAAGATGCCTATTCAATCTGGAAGAAGTTGGAGAACATGTACGAGCGAAAGAACACCCAGAACAAAGCTTTTTTAATTAGAAAGCTTGTAAATCTAAAGTACAGAGATGGCGAAAGTGCTTCCAATCACTTGGGCAAATTTCAAGAAATTTTGAACCAACTGACGACGTCAAAAATAGTGCTAGACAACCAGGTGCAAGCACTATTCTTATTGAGTTCCTTGCCAGACATTTGGGAAACGCTGATTGTTACGCTGAGTAATGTGTTAGAGGGGAATCTAACCTTAACCACAGTTAAGGAAAGTATTCTGAATGAAGAAACCAGACGTAAGGAGAATGGTACGAGTAGCAACTCAGATGCACTACGTAAGGAGAACCTTAACCACAGTTAAGGAAAGTATTCTGAATGAAGAAACCAGACGTAAGGAGAATGGTACGAGTAGCAACTCAGATGCACTCGTTACAGTTACAGAAAGGAAGGGGAGAAGCAAAACCAGATACCCCCAAAATCTAGACAAACGTGACAATTCACAGAGAAGATCAAAGTCAAGAAAAGGTGTCACTTGCTATCATTGTGGTAAGCCCAGGCACATCCAAAGGCACTGCAGAAAGTGGAAGAAGGAACGAGCCAAAGAAAATGATGAGGAAAAGAAAGACGATACAGATGTAGCCTCAATAGCTATTGATGTTGACGCACTTGGTGATGGTAGTGCGCTAATTTCTCACGCTAGTCTCAGTGAGTGTTCCACAAGTCAACAATTCCACAAGTCAACAATCTCTTTGGATTATTAACTCTGCATGTTTTATCATATTTCTTCAAAGAAGGAATATTTTTCATCACTTACCCTCGGAGATTACGGCCATGTCAAGACTTTGAATGGCACATATGTGAAAAATTGCGACATTGGAACAGTATGCATCAAAACCAATAGTGGTTATGATCTCTGGTTAGAAGATGTGAGATACACTCTTACGGCAAATTTCAATCTGATCTCAGTTCATTGTCTTGATGAATTGGGTTATGCAAATCTGTTTGTCAACAGAACTTGGAAGCTTTCCAAAGGTAACCTAGGTACCTGGGGTTCGAAAGTAGGAAAGAAAGTAGAAAGTTCAACACCCTCTACTACACCCAGACCAAAGTTTGCACAAGAGTGGTGAATGCAGTTAAAGATTCATCTGCTGAGTTGTGGCACAAAGACTTGGTCATTTGAGTGAGAAAGGAATGGAGACTCTCACCAAGAAAAAAATGTTGTCTTTGAAAGGTTTGCCCTTAAAAATATGCACTGATTGTTTGTCTGGTAAACAACATAGAGTCTCCTTTCAAAGATCCCCTTCTCCTTCTAGAAGGCCTGGTATTCTAGAATTGGTACACATTGATGTTTACTCAATGGTTGACAAATCCTTGAGTGGTTGCTCATATTGTGTTAGCTTTATTGATGACTGTGACATCCTACCGAGTCGAGTCTTAGCATTGAGTCGAGTCATTTCATGGGGTCGAGTTGAGTCGGGCCAAACCAAACCCGGTTGGGGTCAAACCCGGTTTTGGGGTAAATGGGTTTATAAGTGGAGTTACTTGAGTGGAGAAGAAAAAAGATCAAAAGCATATGGGTTGAGGATTTAATTTGCATAAAAGATCAAGCTTCTCGGTATTAGTATAGCTTTTGGCTGAATTGAGGTACCGTTAGGGAGTTTTTAATAAAATGCCCTTGATTTTTGAGTGGCCTAGCCCGTGATTATCACTTGCACTTTGTCCATATTTTTCATCTTTTATCTGTCATATCTTCTTCATTTTCCTTCCTTTCCTCTTCCACCTTCCCTTTCAATTTTAAAATGGTAGTCTAAGGGCCTTAAAACTTCAATTTTTTCTGTATCCAAGTATAGTAAACCTTCTTGAAGTTCATAATGTGATATCATTTGGTGCGCTATATTGTAGATAAGTTATGAGAATTCTGATGTGTATAGGAGAAGGGAGTTCAAAGATTGTAGAAAAGAGAAGCTAAAGAAGAACTCAAGCTTTTTGGAGTTAAGGTTTGATATCTCTTGTTATTTTCCATTTTTCTTTGTATGAGAATTATGTGTTATGTTGCTAGTGAGACAATATATTGCTTCATGTTGAGTGGGAGGACTGGTACTGGTGAGAAACAAGGGAAAACAGGGGAGGTATTGAACAAATGAAGTAAACAAATTGGTTTATGTTGAAACAGGGCTTGCTGGAAATTTTACCAGTAACTTCATCTTGATTTTGACCCCATTTAATGATCGAATTAGGAAGTGTCATAGAAGAGTTATTTGAAGCAGTTAATTCTGTTCCTCTTATGTGTTACTTTACATGGCGCTTTTTGAATCATCCTAATAAGTCGGAGTTGTATATGAGAGATATGACCAAAAGAGTAAGCAGACTGTGGCAGGCTGGAAGAACGCGAAGCTCGCTGCGCGCGAATCGGCATGACGAGCTCGCGTTGCTTTTCTCGCGCTCTTGTGCTAGTGGGGCGATTTTCAAATGCT